ATCACTTGGAAAGGCAGCACTTAGTGCTCTTGTATAAAGGAAATACAAAGGATATTCATTTAAAATTGCACAACATGGGGATTGCTGACCAGGAAGACGTGTAGTTGATCGAAAAAACAAAACAATATTCAAAAAGTGGAACATTTTCAACAATAATCTTTGAAAGATATTAAAGATTTTATGAATAATTACAAATTCTAACAATATCACAATACATTTAACAAAATCTTTAGTATAAATAAAGTAATTTTAAAGTATTAGCAACACTTTTTTTAAAGATATATGTTCACACATTTAACAATTTAGAAAATACCTTTACAATCTCCCCTTCATTTTCCTCATTACAAACTATAAGTGTATTTTCTAATATGGTAAGGATACTTTCTAATATAATAGTTTCACCAAAGATAAATCCCTAATATTAAATGATAAGTGCATTATTTAATTGTAAAGAGGTAACAGTGGATCTACTTAACTACCAAGATAAGATCAAGAGGAAATTTCAAAGGAATTAAGTATTCCATTTTAAGAAACACTTGAAAAGAGTTAAAAGTAACTGATAATCTCATTAACAAACACTGGAATTCAAATAAAATCTATTAATTAAGAAACTTTTAGAGCAATGCAGAAAAAAATTGCCTAATTTAATTTGATGATTGGATAACATCACTTTGTGATTTTCACAAATGTTTAGATGAATTCAATGCAATACGAAGAAATATATTCAAAAGATAAGTTGTGACTAGGACAGAGCTTGAAATGATGAGTCATTAACAAATAAACAAACATTTTATAAAATCATAAAAGAAAAATTACCTCCGTGATAAAAATATGTTTTTAACATGCTACAAAACCTTATTATACTAATGACATTATAAAACAATGCTCCTATTAAATTTTCTGGATAATTTATTAAAAAAGATGATTTGTTAAATGACTAAGTAAAACTATAACATTTTCAAAATGTTTAAAATAATGTTTTGTTTGTTAAAGTTACATTTAGTTTTAAAACATATTTGAAATACAAATAAAGACAAAATCTAGCTAATACTTCTTCTCTACAAAAAAAATATTGATAATTTACAACAATGATTGATTTTAAAAAAAGAAACCTTTGAAATTTCTTCTAGCTTGAAAAAAAAATAAAAAAAATAGAAAAGTGAATCTATTGCATTTCCTTTCCTATCAGTTAACATGATATGTCATCAACAACCAAGATGACATTTATAATTCATATAAGTACATTGTCCAGACTTGAAATTGAAGTAACAAGAACTATACAAAGAAACAAAGAATATACAAATTTTTAACGATGACTATTATTTTATTTCATTTGTTTCATTAACGTTTACAATTATATATTAAATTCTACAATATAATTCCTATAATAGATACATTCTAAATACATATGCACATATAAAAATAAAAGGTTTAAAATAAATAAATATTATTTAAGTGAAATCTACACATCGATATTTTTGGCAACGAGGGTTATAACAAATTGAATTTCCGGTACTAGGTATGACTAATGTAATAAAATTTAAATTAATTCTAATATTTTAATAATTCCTTGACTGTTAGCCGCCACAACAATATTCGAATGTTGTCTCCAGCAAACAGCAGATACAAATTCATTAACATCCTCATCACGCTTATCTTTATCGAGAACACTTCGCACGGCATCGAACTTAAAGCTAAACAGTTGTTTTGATAGTCCTTTGTAATAGACATATAACGAATTATTTTCAGAACCACAAGCGATGTAATCTCCATCAGTTGCAAGACCAACAAAGTTTTTCTCATTAATATGACCAACGAATGAACGAAGGCAATGCGGATCATTAATATTCCACAACTTGAGCTGGCTATCAGTTGATGCTGAGACAATATCTTCTCTGTTGAGGAACTTCACATATGATACTGCTTTACGATGGCCCTTAAAAATACACAAGGCTTCTTTCATATTTCGTAAGTCATAATAATGAACACAATGGTCAGCAGAACCAAATGCCAGGTGTGAGGAACTTCTAGGATTGAACTTGACACAGCAGACATTGGCTTTCGCTTCCAATGAAGCGATAGAATGCTCCATATTCAAGGACCACAACTTGACTCTAGCATCATCCGAGCCAGATGCAATAAGTCGAGTATCAACTTCATTAAAGTCTACACTCCAGCATCTTTTTTCATGCTCTTGAAATATTTTGACTCTTTGACCTGTACCTACATCCCATACTGTAACAGATCCCTCATAATCACTACTAGCTAAAGTAGTTTTATGATAAGAATTCCAACTAACACATGAGATTTTTGAACTTGAGACCATTTCTATTGAAGGATAATGGATGTCTACTGTATCCCTTATAACAGACGAATAATCAAATACTTTTATTCTCTTAGTAACACCAGCTATTGCAAAAAGCTCATTATCTTTGTCAAATTCAATGCTAGAAACAATTGTAGAGTTATTGAATATATCTGGTGAATAATTCAAAGTAGCCAATGGCTTTAAGGCGCTGTATCTAGAAAATTTAACTAAATTTTCTCTGAAAATATCTAATCCCGAAGGCATCATGCCTTCACTTTTTTCTCCCTTGGAAAACAACAATTCATTAGCACGAATATTTAAATAGCATTGCACAAAATCATCAAAATGTGTATGCATTCTTTTCTTCCTCATAGCCAAAGAGGACAGAGAAGGATCTAATTTTTTGCCACTGTTAAAACTTTCTTCTTCCTTTTCTTCAATTTTAACTTCGGCTTCAGTAGCTTTACACTGCTCTTCTAATTGTGATTTTCTGGCATCTGCTTCCTTTACTATGCCTTCTACATCTTTTAAGTCTTTTGTAATTAAACTAACCTCACGATTTAGTTGAACAAGTTGAGCTTCCTTCTGTTTTAATAGGTGCTCAAGGAAATGAAATAACAAACGATTTTGAGCAACACAGGTTTCGGCTTCTAAAATATGTTTCCTCTGAGTCAGCACTTCTAATATTACATTAACATCAGGAAGAGTAAGATTTTCTGATTCTGCAGCTAGAAATTGCCTCAAGCCATCAACAGGAGTTTCTGGAGAATCAGCAGCTGAAAGCTCAGCAGCTTTCTTTACTCTTGTTTTGTACTTAGATATTAAATCATTAAGAAGAAAATTAGGAAAAATATGTTCGGGTCCATTTAGAACAAAACTGCATTTAGGACAACGTCCATATGTTTCAAGAGAGCGTGCAATGCAAGCAAAACAAAACGTATGACCACATCGGGTAATATGTGCTTCTTCAATTAATTCAAAACAAATTGGGCATAAGTAATCATTATTTTTATCTTCGAAAGAACCACCAATTCCATTAAGAACAGAAGGATGTTGACGTTTTCCGGGTCGTGACCGCTGTGGTGTAGCAATATGTGCAAGACTTTGAGAAGATGAAGGTCGATTCGCAGCCATCACTCAGTAAATCTGAAACAATACAAAACAGGCTTAATGTGAAGTATAACAATGAAATTACCTTAAGTGTGTATTTGTACTAAACATTAAGCGTTTTGTATTGTTTCAAATTTCTGATAACATTTATTTTTAAACCAACAAATACACACCCGTTAACTTTTAAATAATGTAAGTATAATTTTTAAATTAATGAAATTGACAAATTATAATAAAACTTAAGCCAATCTGAACAATTACAACTTCTTCAGCAAAATAAGTTTGTTTCAAGATCTCCAATCCTAAATTCAATAACCGTTAATCTATCATTTGTAATTAAAGACAAAAATTATTAATCCCTAAGTCTTCATTTTGGCATTTGGTAATTGATAATCCTGACTCAAAATATCAAGTATTAACAATGTAGTACTCACATCTCCTAAGCAACACCATGAGGTGTCTAATAATAAAACCTTCTACCTATAGCCTTTCTAAAAGCTTCAACAATATACACTGAAAGAGTTTCTTATGGTAAGTAGATGGCTTAACAGGTAAGACAACTGAGCTTAAACAATTTAAGAGTGATAAATCCTGATTTTAGAGTCATTATTGAAGCAGGGGCAATGCAAATAAATAAAGTCATTAGGAACTCTGTGATATCAAACCAAACATGATTACATAGCTTTATGAGGAATATAAGCTGTGGCAATCATTTTTAAATGATTCATATTAAAATAAGAGAGTACTACTCAGATTAATTAAAGGAGGGTCGTAATTGTGTCTAATGTGTTAAAGAATTCTTCCTGGCAGAGAATCTTCAGTATACACTTAATGACAAATATTATAAGACAATCTGAGAGGCTAAGGTTAGACAAAACAAGTTAATATTGATTTCAGTACAAGTTCATAAGTCAAGTGATTCGAACATACATAGAATTCCAAAAGTGGTTAAGTGTTAACAAAAATAAAAAAAGGTAAAGTCTTAGTAGAGCCTCAGAATAGCATGGACACCTCTGAACATCAGTTACAACACTTGGGTACTTTTAGAATTACATCTGCAGTTTAATCAAAGTGATCTAGAACCACCTGTCGACAAAACGTGACCCTATGAACTGGTACCTTAATTTATAATATAAAAAACTAAAACGTAAATAATCAATAAACATTGAAGTAGGTAAAAATGTTTGTGATATACCTAAAGAGGGTAAAATTACTTTGATTGAATAAACAAATTCACTGTAAATGACTTAGTTTTTATTTCAGTTTAAGCAAATTGAGAAATATATGGATCAGAAATTTTAATTTAAACAGTTTTTTAACAATATTGGTTTATAGACTACACCTAGTTATACGATGATCCCACAATAAGTTTCAAGTAAACTGATAAGAAATCTCCAGAAAATTATTGATTCTATAGTTAATGTACCAGAGTAGAAGAAGAACATTTTTTTTTAAATCAAGAAAGTTGAAAACTCAGTGAAATTAAAGTTTACAATAGGATACTTTATTATGAAATAGATTGGAGAGAATGTCTACTTTTTAAGACTAGATAAAAATATAATTTGAATAGAAAAATACTTACATCTTCAAATTTTCCAAAAGAACTCCTTTAATAGATTCATCAAATCCTTTAGCTGTTTTAGTTAATTTAACATTATTATTTTCATCAACGAAGGCTCCTAACACAACTCCTTTCTACAAAGATCTCAAATATAAATCCAATATATATGTTTACGCTACGAGAAGCAAATTTAAGGCACAATTTATACTACCTTATTTTTATTACTGGATGAATAAGTTCTAATAAATATCCGTTTCGTTAAGGTAATCCTACACAGTGGACGAAAAACCGCCATTTCCCTAAGCCACAGAGATAACATACCCATCAAACCGACATTGGTGTCAATGAATGCACCCAAAGTGAAATTTTTTAATAAAATTCACTATCACCAACGATATAGGTCTTTCTGGAACTGCGCTTTAACTACTTTAACAGCCTAAAGGAGCGCTGGTGTCAGTGTATTCAACTTCTTCATTGAAATTGGTTAATTCATAGTCCGTTATCTCATAGTTCCAATCATGAAAGTTTTAAAATTAAAAAAATATTTTTTGAAAATAAAGAAATAAAAAAGGTAAGAATATACACTGAATTCATACAATTTTATTTTCAAATATTTTACACGAATTGGATTTTTCTCAGTAATTGAAATATCTAAAATTTAAGGAATAGGTTGGATCAGATGAAAGACGAAAAAAAAAAGTTTAAAGACATTTGAAGTTGTGAAATGGGCCTCGTAGTAGAACTAGCAAGGACTAAGAGGACACACTTCGAAGTTAGTGAGATCTTAAAGGTTGAGAAGCAGCTAGTTTTGAAAAGGTGATTTGAAACGGGCTTGCTGAAGATGCCCTTAAAAAGCTAAACCAAGACGAGATAAAGGAGTGGCTGAGACCCTGATAATTGATCTTATAGCCAAAGGATGACTGGTAAAAACGTGAGTAATGAAAGGACCATTATTGTAGGCGAAAAATTTGACCATGGAGATTAAGGACTATTTGGAGGCCCCATTCTGCCTAAGATACCCGGATAATGGCGATGTTATAGAGTGGAAAAAGAAGGGGCGTAAAGTCACTGGCTACACCTCAAAAGAAAGCCGCTTCTCACCGCAAAAAAAATTAATTGTCTTGCCACGGGGGTAGTCGAAAAAGAATGGAACCATTGCGCAAGCAACAGAGATTGCTCGATCCACCAGCAGGAGATAACAATTAAGGTCCAGATAGTTAAATACATAGATTAATAATTGTGCAGATCAATATAGGCAGGATGGGATTGGCGATCTATGAACTCAAGGAAATAGCACAGTTATATATTATGTTGGCGTTATGGAAGCCATGATATCAGAAGATCTTGAGCGCCGGATTTTATATCGCGTCAATAAAGGTGTCACTAGACGATGGAAAGAGGAAACCCAGAGCAACAGTAATAGTATCTAACAACACTCTAGACTTTATTGAGCTGAGCCAGAATACGACGATAGATCGAGCGGCATGTTATATTAAATGGGACAGCTAGACATTATCTTCGAGAAAGAAGGAAACGACGACCACCAATATGGGACAACAGTGTCGTCCCGAGATCCGCAGATTGGCCGTACCCTGGAGTCCAACTTGGAGGAAATGGATTGGGAAGTGGTGACCTAATTCCACATAAGTGATCTTCAACTGGGTATTATTAGATCAAGATGTGACAGGACTCTATGATTTGATGACTCGGCGGTCTATAGGAAGAGTGTCTCCTGTATTGAAGAAGAAATCTTTGTGATCTATGATGAATCCTTGGACGGGGTACACTTCCCAACACAATGGATGATTGCTATTTTAATTTCATTGCTACGGTTGCTAATCGGATCCACCTCAATCCTCAAATCCGTTTCAATACCTCCCAATCTTCTTCTGTACAACTCACCTATCTCCTTCCATACCACCGTTCAAAACCTTGGCGTTATCCTCCATCAAACCCTCTCCTGAAAACCACGCATCTTCCAAATTTCTCGCCGGTACTTGTTTGACTGCTATCTGCCTATGTTTACAAACTTAATACCAACAGATAACTGTGATAAGCCACTGATAATATTTCGTATTCATATTTATTGTATTATAATCATATTATTATATCTTCGTCTTCATATTTATTGTATTGTATTGGTATTACTGAAATTGTGAACAAAAACAAATGTAATAATAAAAAATACTTTTATTATACAAGATATATATTAAATAGACCAAAACATTATACATATAATTAAAAAACATTACGAAACCATTGCAACATATATATAAAAATAAATGAAATAATAAATATAGGCAATTTGAAACTTTGCCGGGCCCTCCATTTTTTTTACTAGACCTGTATAACATGTTATGGGATCAAACCTCTCTTAAAAATTTGTTCCACGTTAGGATAGTTTGAGCTGCTCTTTCCCCCACTGCATTGTTGTTAAATTATGGAACCACCCATAAATTAAAGCCGTTAAAAAAGAAATCCCCGACCTCTCTAACCACGTTCCTTTCCTTATAGAAACGGTTTTGTTACAACTATGAAAGCATCAACATTTAATCTTCTCCTCGAACTTCATTTGATAACCATAACCTTCATCACAATATTTCACCTTTGCAAATAAACCAACGTCTTGAAAATATTTGATAGCCTCTTCTTCTGAAGACGACAATTCCAATTTCGTGTGACAACATCCATAATTAAAGAAGACTAACTCACAGCTTACTCAAGGAACAAAAAATAAACAAGGGAATAACTTAGGTTAGAGGAGATAAGGGAGGTTATGAGAAATAAGATTAGATAACAAGGGAGGTTTTGATGCTACCCGCTATTAAACAAGTACCTTCTCGCCGTACTATTTCCACCCTGAAACAGTTTAACCATCTCCGTTATCTTCTTAACCCATCAACTCCTTGTCTCATCTCTTGTTTTCTCCCACTTCGACTATGGCTGCATAGTGTATGGAGGACTCTTGGGGGAACTCGAAGCTAAACTTAAACGTCTAATGAATTGCTCATTTATCAATTGCTCCAATTTATCTTTAGGATCTCAAGGGATACGCATCATCCAGTTCTACACCGAGTAGAAGTGGCTTTATCCGTCCTACCGCCGTCATTATTTCTTTGCTATCTTCCTATACTAGGTCATTAGAACTCGGCGACCCGCCTATATTCTACAGAAACTACAATTCAAACGCTACTTCCAATCACGTCCCACCAGATCTCAAACGTCCTACCTCTATCCTCCTCGCCGAACTACTGCGTTTGACAAATCCTTTTTAATTAAAGTTGTCTCCCTCTGGAACTCTATATCCTCAGATATTCGACACACAAAGTCAGTATCCTCTTTCAAATCTTTCTTCTTCAAATACGTACTCTATTCCCAATCCGATTGATCACGGAATGTACTTAAAAACCTAAGCTGTAAGAATCTCAAAGTACACCCAGATACTTTGATTATTTTTGTGATTCATCGATATTTTATTTAGTTAATTTACTTTCTCTGTTTATTTTATATTTATATACGTCTTTATATCTTTACATTATCTATAATTTTATTTTATTCCTGATCATCCTGTAAATATTAAATTGTATTTTATGGACACACCAGAATATTAATATATGTTCTGTACTCGTAACTTGTTCCAATGGGACACTGGTCCCAGAATAATAAAATTATTTTCATTCATTCATTTAATCAATGACTTCAGCTCCAGCTCCGGTCAGAGTCATGGTCAAATCTATACAGTTATGACCAGAGGCATTATGCTGTCCGTGTTGGAGCTGTTTCAAATGGCTCCACCAGTCCCCATTCACATCTATTAATAAGTTTTTCTTTGTCTGTTTTATTCAAACCAAAAGGCCACTCTTAAATCCCCTTTATTAATACATCAAGATTCTATTAGCAATCCTTTAAAGTAATTCTTTTAACTTTTTAAACATTTGCAAGAACCTTTATGTCTAATTACTTAGTAATGTTTAGTTCATCTCAGCCCCCTATTTTCCCTTCATTAATTTAGAGTCACTTACACATTTGGGATTCAGATGTACAAGGATGCTGCTAATCAATAGTGACATGTAACTAACTTCTTTGGAAAAGCAGGAAACCCTAACGGTCCCTTTCGTGGTTAATTTGTGAATATCTTGTTTGAAGTAATTTTAGTTTTCTTATACTTGATTATCTCGTAATTTACATACATTAATTTTGTTTTCTCTGAAGGAATGTTCCACTGTTAAACTTCTGAAGAAATGGCTGATTTTTCTCAGGAATTGGTAATTTGGAAGCTTAGTACATGTACTAATCAATTGTAGAAACTGAATGATATTGATGAAATATATGATGCATAATTGTTTTCAGGGAGTTCAGGAGGTTCTTGCAGGTCAGTCAGTTCTTTCAAGGCCTGCTGATGAGTTCGACAATGATGTTAGTATCTAGTATAATTTATTATTCTCTAGTGATCATATATCACTTTATTTAGTCTGTTGTTTTGATTAATTTGTCGTTTTCATTAATTTTGTTGCAGCCCACTGTGGAGGCAATGTGGGCAGTGAAGACAATTGAACATGCAAGAATTTATTTTGATGTAAGAAAAGTAATTTACGTTCTTCTTTAAAATTAAGACAATATAAACATAAGTTTGGTCTTCTTTTCAGTTGCTTTGCAGTGTTGATCCTCAAGGACTACGTTTAACGAGACATGATGATAAAATTTATGAAACCTTTAGAAAACAGTTTCCTGAGTTAAAATTAGATTTATTGAACGAAGATGAATTGAAGAGTGAAGAAGGAAAAAAGGTATTGATTTGCCTCTGTTTTTAAGTTCATTTTAATAGAAACGTAGGTATCTTTGTTCAGATGTCACTCAAATATCATGTGATACTGTTCTAATGTCATGTGACACTTTGTTGAGTAGGCCAATATCATCCTCCATATATATATATATTTTTTTTTTTGTTACATGTTTGACATTTGTGTTACATCTCGTTATCTGAATCTAGCTTATACATATAAAGTTGTGGAAAGAAAATAGTATTTTATTATAAAATAGTATACAATATGTACTCCTTTTTACTTTCACTTACCTATTTATGAATTATATAGTATAGGAAAGTATTGCGATCATGAAAATTTTTGAATCCGAGTTTTCAACTGAAATACATATTTTGAGATCTCCCAAGTCCTGTAAGATGGTCTGTGTGTGTGTGTGTCTTTGTGTATGTGAACAGTGCAACTAAAAAATAAAAAGTTGTATGAAAGTGAAATTGCATATTTAAGGTTTGTTTATACCTGGGATGTTAAAGCAACTTTTTCGTCAAAATCGGCTAACCGGAAGTGGCACTTTATGTAATCAATTTTACACATTTTACAATTTTCTAAAAACGGCTATAACAATTTTGATTAAATTCATTATATCAGTGTAAAATTAAGCAGTTTTTAATGTAATGTAGGTTTTATTCTCATTGATGTTCTCTAACAGGGCTTAAATGGCCAATTTTCACTATTTCTTCTTATGAAGCATCTGTAATTTTGTTAATTTGAAATAATTAACAATTTCACAATTAACTGTGATATAAAAAAGGAAAGAATTTGATAATTAACTGAAGCAGAATTAAGAGATTGGATAATAAACTGTTAATCAGGAATTTCTAGGATGTGGATTGGTGGAAATATACATTTCTTTACTTTAAAAATAAAGATTATTTCCGGTCATCAGACTTGTAATATTGAATAAATAAAAATACAACATACAACATTAGATTATCTAAAATGATTTCATTAAATGCAGAATGGTAAAGAAATATATTTACTTCTAAAAAATAAAATATATTAAATTTCTTTATTTAAGTCTGGTCTTATTTTATAAGACTGGTGGCAAGATAGTAATCCCAATCTTCTTTTTGTCTTCTTTTATAGGCTCTCCTGGTGGCTCATATTATGCATTTTATTTAAAACTTTTTATGTGTGAACATTGTCAGAAATAGGGCAATTCTAAATAAATTATTTTATTCCAATTCTCAATAATTATTTTAATAAAGTTCTAAAAACTTGAATAAATAACCATTTGCTTTCCATTTGAATCTTCGCACAATTGAAAAAAACTGTGGCCTATAAACACACTGGGCCGTTAGGCCTATATAACTTTGTTATTTTGATTTGTTGGTCACCTTTTGCTCAATTTTGTGATCAAACTATCTTACGATTCAAGTGAAAAGCAAATGGGTGTTAATGAGTTTTTACTACCTCATTTAATAGATTATCTCAAGATAAAAAAATCATGTATGATAAAATTAGTGATTAATTTATTTTGTACCTCACTGTTTTTGTATACATTTTGTGTTTATCTTTAGTAAAAAGCAGGATTCAATTTATAAAAACCATTTTTTTTTTTAACTTCTTGTTTCAGGAATGGAGAGAATTCTGTGAAAAGTTCCATGATATAATTGAAGACTATAATTTTGGAACATTAATTAGAACTAATTGCACTGATGAGTACAGTGAAAAGAATTCTTTTATTGTTCCAAGAGTTATGTTCTATGCTCTAGAAATAGCTAGAAATCGTGAAGGTTTCAACAATTCTATCAGGACCAAATTCAGAACCAGCCAAAGTGGTTCTTAAGGATTAATGTCTGTGAATATATGTGTATGTTTTCTTGTTCATATAAGTATAAAATAAAAAGCTTGTTAATTATTAATTATTTACTTTGAAATTCCATTTTTATAATTAATGAATTGGTTGCAATTAAGACTTTCATATGTACAATTATTTTGCATTAAAAAAAAAATTGCATAATATATCATGAACCTAGTTGTCTTCCCCTCCTCCCATTGAATTACATTGAAATTATCCCAAACAGAAATAATAAACCTCAGCCTAGTAAGACCAGTTCCTCACAATTTTGATTTTTTACACAATTAACTCTATATCTAGGTCTATAATTTTTCATTTGAGAATAATATTATTAAGAAGAACCCTTTATGAAATACAGTAATCCTTCAAACTTTCCGAAATTTGATAACCGGGAGTTTTCAGCATCAGGGAATTCATAAAAAAATTTCAGGGGGCACCTAGGCTAACATTAATTAATGTATCCTAAGGTACATTTATACTAAATTTGCTGCTTTTAGCCACAATGTAATGGTCAATTTGAAATTTAGTCCTAAGCCATCTGACTAAAGATGCCAATATTCATGTTAGGGCCTGCGTTGGATCTGTCACCTCCTGCAATGTTCAAATATCAATAAAAATTAGTTAAAAAGAAACATTTAATTTTTGTCAGGTTTTAAGGCATTCTACTCCTCTGTGTAACGCACAGTGGTCCATTCCAGTCTATCTAGCGGGACAAAAGTCAAAATATCGATTGTGAATTTTTAATGGTAAATGGCATCAAACGTTTATTTATACATTGGTGTAATTAGACACAGAAGAATTTAAAAAAAAAATACAAATAATATAGATATAATCGATGGCAAACATCGAAAATTGAGAGCCAGTTTTAATAATAACGGGTACTGGCTTCATTGTCAGAGTGAGCAATAAATACTTTTATGCATCTTTCCATTTTTTTTCCCCTGCAAAATTCGATTATAATACATAGAAATAAGCTTCCTTTAAATGTTAGAACTGAATTCATAAAAAGTTATGGTTAAGTTATAAGTAATGTATCTACAATTGCGCAGAAATTTGAAATGAAGATCAGACATGCAAATTTTAAAAAGCTGTAAGTTTACCGGAATATCATGATATATATGTATATATACTTAGTTCTGCCATAAAAGTTGATCTTACATTATTGGGTATTATTTAGATAATCCTTACCTCTATCAGGTTATTTTCTTTATATGTCAGGATAATAATCCCAATTAGTTTGTATTTTTCTTTCTCCCAGTTAACATGGATTGGGGTGATAAAGAAAACTGAATAGATGTGATGCCTTACATAAAGTTGGAAAATGTAGGTCAGAGATTTTCAACACTTTAAAACCTTTGGGTATCAGCTGTATGTTCGTGTATTGCACTATAAATAGATATAATGAGACCCTATCTGTATTTAACAGATGTCGATCTGGCCGTCTCTGCACTGTGAGAACGGCAAATGCAGAGGGAGCAGTGGCTGCTCAAATCAGAAGAAATCCCATTCGACAACAACAAATCATGTCTCGGGAAATGGGAATCTCTGTCAGATAAATGTCTCATAATAAAACGTGACCTTAGGATGGGTGCATTTTGAAATGACAGGACAAAGGCTAACCACTTCCATAAAAAAATTAGAGTGGATAAATTAAAAGTGCTCCTTGGCCTTAGACTAATGGTCTTCATCGAAATATTTTGTTTAGCAATGAGAAAATCTTAAAATTAAAGAAAAATTTAATCATCAAAATAATTACATACACAGTTCTAAAGGAGCCCAGGAAGTCATTGAAAGAGTGGAAAGAGGTTATCACCCTTCCTCAGTGATAGTTTGGAGGGGAGTTTGCTTGGTGGCACCATACAGCTCCATTTTTGTGAAAAAGGATTAAAAACAGCTGCTAAAAACTATCAGGACGATATTTTTTAACCTGTTGCCAAGCCTCTAAATGATACTCAGTATACTGGAAGGTTTTCCAGCAGGATTCCACTCCAGCTCACAAGGCCAGGTCGACTCAGCAGTGGCTTCAAAAAAATATTCCAGAGTTCATCTCTGCCTCGGATTGACCCTCAGGAACCCTGATCTCAACCCACTAGATTCCTGGCTTTGGTCCAAACTGGAGACGATGGCATGCCACAGAGCACATCCTAACTTGGAAAGCTTCAAACAATCTCTGGTCTGAGCAGATGAGCGCTTTCCTTAAGAAGTGCTACGTACAGCTATTGATGACTGGCCTAGGCAATTAAATACCTGTGTCAAGGCAAAAGGGAGACATTTTGAGTAATTTCTTTTTTTTGTTTTACTCTCTATAGATATACATTTTAAAAAAAAAATAATTTTTATATCGAGATCGATGGCTTTTAATAAAATAGTTTTGCCACTATTTAGCCTATTAATGACCTCCACCCTGGACCATCTCCTTCTTTTATAATACAACGGTCAATTATTAAATATTCTATGTATATATTGTCTTGTAGCAATATTTATGACAGGAATAGGTATGTTCAGTTACTAAAAGTCATGGACTTTACATATATACCTAGCATAATTACTTAAGATTCAATAGAAATCAGCTAAATAATATTTTTCATTTTGATTTGATATTGTGTCTAAAAACCAATTTTTTTAATGAAACAAAAAGTAATTGATTTAAACGACCCATGGATGTCGTGTAATCTTCTCTAAATATGATTTAAATAAATTCAACCTTCAGAACCTTTTTATTAAAATTGTGACAGAACTTAGAAGTGAATTTATCAGCAACATTGTATAGAGCAGCAATGATGATGGCAGTGAGTTGGACATATTTAGCGATTTTCCATTATAATCCTTTTTTACAGGTTTATTTTTTACTGATTTAGTAATGAATTATTACTAAGAGAAATAAATCATTAATAATTTATCAATCTAAAAAAATAAGCTAACTTTATTTTTTGAAATCTTCCTAATTTGTTTTTGTTGGTTTTCAGAGTAATATATGTTCTGGCTTAATCTTTTAGTTGTATTTAAAAACACCATCTAAATTAAAATAATCGTTTTTCAGCCAAGAAAAAATAATTTTTAACAAAAAAAAAAAAATCAATTCCTTTTTGTCACATTGACTTGATTGTTAAGATAATCATTCTAGAGGACAATTAAAAAAAAAAGTTGTAATATATTGGTTGTAAAATTATCTTCTTAAGTAAAACTATTAGTATTAGAAAAATCGTATTAAGGGGTTCAACATAAACAACCCCTTAATACGAATTCTCAATCCCAGTGAGGATGAAATGGATTTGGACATATTAAGTGATATGTCAATATAACTTTTTTTTCTTTAAACACTTCTTAATTGAATAATGTCTATTAGGATTAAGGACATTAATAATATTGATACAGGAATTCATTCACACCATATGAACAATAAATAAAAATAAATCAAATGGCTTACAATAATGTAAACATATTTTTTTTTTTTAAATTTTATACTTAGATAATACTCTCTCTATATATTATTATTTTTTTTAATATAATGTAATTTTTTAGTGTACGATGTGAAGTTGTGAAATTTATCTTTTAATGGGGTACAAAAACATTTCTGATATTAAATAAACTTTTTATAATTAATTAGAAACAATTTTGAAAAAAAAAAAAAAAAAAAAAAAAAAAAAAACCGATTTAATTCTTTTGTATAGACTTTTGTCCTCCTAGGCTACTCAGAAGAAGAAGAGCTATGAGCTATAACTTTCTCGATATAACTCTCTATATCCTGCTTCAAAGTGAAGATAGTCCCAATGTGCACCTTCAGCAATCGAAACTAAAGTGCTTTTTACCATAATAAACCTACATCGTTCACTTAATATCATACAAACTGCAATTGACCCCCTTTTAGCAGCATCTTGAAATATTCTCTTCATCTGTCTACTATACATTTGTTTAGCCATATAATGGATACTGGTACTTTTTATCTTTTCCGAGGTTTTGGCACTTCCTTTCTCGTTCGCTAAATGTATTTTTCCAGTTTTCGGGTTCAATTTCGCGTTTTTCCTCATTTCAAGACCAAATCCAAACAATCAGTTCTGGTTTATAGAATAATTTATAGCGTCACCGTTTCTATCTTTCTTTGTGCAGAGAGAATAATTCATGCAATAATAAAATTTCCTATTTATTTATGATAAGTCCAACTTCTGCACAAAATAAAGGAAATAAAAATTAATTTCTTAATTAGTGATATATGAGTTTTACTATATAACCCAGCAGCTATTCATTATATATAGTTCAGATTAGGTATATATTATTTTAGTTTATAAAACAGGTATTAATACGATTCATTTCCTGGGAAGTATATAAAAATTTTAATTACCTTTAAGAATCAGTAAATATACAAAACATAGTGTTAAATTGCAAACGTTAAATAATAAAAAAATCAAGATATTTAGCAAAGTTTTTTAATTAAGTTTTATTATTATAATTATATCATTTTTACAATTAAGGTCTTCTTAAACGACCTACGTGTAGAATAAAGAACGTTAAATTAAAAAAAAAAAAATAATACATTTAAAAAAACAAATTTAATTTTTTTTTTTACAATTAAATTATTGCATTAATATTTGTTCGTTAATACAACCAATATAATGTACCAAAAATGTTATTATATCACTTTAACTAAGCCATTTATGTATACTGAATGGTGTGGTAGAGGCCTGTAAGCACCCACGCCAGTACCGCTTTTCTGCCGCATAAGTGCATTTTCTACGGAACTGCTTAAAAGTTTTTTAAAAATAATCAGCGTTTTGGAAAGAGAAATATATTCTCCAGATGGTTTATTTCTGCACGTTTTGCGTTATTGTAGGCCGTTTAATTACAAATGACGCTTGATTTTTAACTTTAGTGGTGTTTTTCATAGCCTAAGCCAATTATTTTTTAATATTTCTTCATGGTTTATTATTCTATGACTATTCAGCTTTAATAAAAGACCAACTATGAGGAAATTGAGCCAAATGCTGATTCTCAGTGACCAAAAACCTAACTAAAGTCAAAGTCGTCAATCCGCCATGTTTGGACGCCATTTTGGGGCAGTGCGTTCACTTTTTTTTGTGGGAACATTGTTTTTTTTTAATAAATAGTCACAAGGAACACAACGATATGCAATTTATAGGGATGTGGGGAGGAGGGAGGGTGCACGGTAAGG